GGCGCGGACGAGCGCCCTACGCCAGTGCCTTTATTTAATCACATAGTTCTGGACTAACGAGGCATCAGCTTAATGCATCAAGGCTCATCGATAAGGCCCTTTCTAATAATACTCGTAAGGCGTACAATGTCGCTTGGAAAGCCTTTAATGCCGTTGGTTAATTACACCTTACATCCAAGTCAAGTAGACTCTGAACACAAGTTTGAAGGCTAACTTGTTAGCCTGTATTTGTGAGAGGAGTCTGCTCCCACGTTGCGCTCATAAACCTAGTAGGTAGGCTCACGTGAGGCTTCGGCATGACCCTCCCACCCTATCCCCTTATTTTCTCTACATCATAGAGTATGCCCCCTTATTGGCATTACTATCCATCTGGACCATGGCACACCTCAGGTCAGTATGTTGGTTAATTACACCTTACATCCAGGTCAAGTAGACTCTGAACACAGATATATATATATATATATTTGGCTGCTTATTATATGTTTATGTATGCATTAATTGAAATGTCTCCTCATATCATGACATGGATTCCTAATATTGGGATGGATTTTAACTTTTTAAATATGAACTAAAAATATCCCCACCTTTTATGGTATTAGTATCTGAAACTAGAATAATTGCCAGCTTCCTAAACATAGATCATTTGTTATTTTATATATGTATTTGCTCTCATAAACAGCTTGATTATTTTATAATTTTGCTCCTTTTTTGCATCTACTCTTTGCCAATTATTTTTTTACATATATTTTTATTATATCTGTCTATTGTAGAACCTGTGCCACACCTATTAACTGATGAAGTGACGGTAGTCACAAAATGCATCTTTGGTGTATGGATAAAGATTTGTTCCATACAGATCACCAGGACTAGACAGATTCTGCTTTACCACTATCAATGGTATTTGACAGCATGGCCACCATCACCATACTAAACCACAGTGGCCTCTGACACTAAGAGGGTTATTCACGAAGGAGCCGAAGGATCTAGCCATAGCTTTGGCTGATCTTTCGGTTCACTTCGGCCACTGGAGCCCTTCAGTTCGGTCGAACCGAAAGGCTGCTGTACGGGCAATTCACAATAGCCATCGGCAGCTTAGTGAATAACCCTCTAAGTCAAATGACAGGCTTTTTTCTGTACACTACAAAGTATTTTTAATTTTAATGTTTTATAACCTTGATGGTGGAGCAGTCTTTTTGTAAGCCCCAAAACACTTCGGCTCTCTCATACATTTTTTTAAATTGAAAAATAAATTGAGATTTTCATTTGGACATAGCAATTGGTTTTGCACTTATTCTTCAGCATTTTTGCCAAAATACTTTTTAATATAGTTCAACTACAAGTCTATTCTGTAAGGCAGTATTGATTGTTTAACCTCTTGCCGTCCGCCCGTTAAGAAAAAACGGACGGACGGCTGACTCCTATCTGCGGGTTGCCGTCGCCAGACGGCATTTTTTTCCTGCTCGCCCCCTAGCGCGCGCGAACGGGCAGGAAAGACCCGCTTGTTACTACAGCCGTTAACGGCTGTTTCACATACAACCGATCAGCGGCTCTATAGCCGCCGATCGGTTGTATGGCGTGAATTTCGGAGGCCCCCCCCCGCGCGATCACGGGTGCGGCCATCTCCCCCCTCCTGACCCCTCACCTTTAATCCCGGGATCCGCTGCCCCATCTGCGGCCCGGGACCGGCTCGGGATGGCGTCAGGAGAAGGAGGGAGGGAGATCAGATAATGTGTATATACTGTGAGGGGAATTTATCAAAACTGGAGCAGCCAAAATATGGAGCAGCCGCGCATGGCAACCAATCAGCCTCTCTTTTTCATTTTAAAATCTTAACTGAGCAAACTGAAGAGAGAAGCTGATTGGTTGCCATGCACAGCTGCTCCAGATTTTGGCTGCTCCAGTTTTGATAAATTCCCCTCAGTATGTTTAGTTCTGTAGCCAGATCTATAAACGCTTATTTTCTATTGATTGCTGTGGATCACTTACACTTATCTTCTATCCTGAAAAACTCCTTTTTACATCATATGTAAAATGAACAAGGTATTATATCAATATTATAATATTGATATCATAATACCTGACAGTAGTGTGAGAAAGTTTAAAAATATTTTATTATCACATTATCAACACAGAACAATTTGCATTGGGCACAATTCTTTATTTTTTGCATTATTGTTTATGGCCATAGTTATAAATTCCTTCAAACTGTCTTCGTCTTTATCTGAATCTGAATATTCACAATCTTACATAATTATATACCGTTTTGTTGTTGCTCTTTTACACAATAAAAGGCTTATTTTCTTATTGATTGGACTTGGCAGTTGAATCAGGATTTGCTCTGCCAGTAACTGGAACATTCATATGATCACATCTAAGACCGCTTACCAGTGTACTACCATATCATACATTTTTATATGCCAGGCTTCGGAGTTTGGCCCCCCCTGCCTACTTTTGCTGACTGGAGAAGGTAATTGAATGAATAGGTCAATAAGCATTTGTGTATGATGTAATGATAATGAGGCACACAGCCTTATGGGTGCCCTGGGTTATAATGACTTAATTGTGCTCATGTGGCCTCGTATAGTTTGTAAAGTGAATTGGTTAACCCAGGAAAGCAATTGGGCAATGCAGGATCAGCCCAGTTTGCTGCAAATCCTACTCTGTGTGAACTTATTCTCTCAAATCTGTTTCCTATTTTCACCTTTCATTTCACAGGATGCATTAAGTGGAAGAAGTAAAAAAGGAAAAAAAACTGTGTGTTCGGCAAATCCTCTGTTGGAATGCAGGATTAACAGTAATGTGCAAACATGACTGGGAGACTGGTGACCAAATGCTATGCAGCACAATACCTACAATTTAAATTGCATTGCATAAAAGTGCAGACAAACCAAACTACTGTAAATGCATCTTCAACTGACCTAATTTACTAAAGGAAATGAACATAAGCTAGGTTGCTAAATTACTCTTGTATTACTAATAGTAATGTTTATTGCACGTTGAACATCAAAATAATGTTGTGTTTTGTTCTAGTAAAGTGCACAAAGGAATGCATGTGTCAATAATTTACTTTTAAAATGAAGAAAAAAAAAAAGTTGCAAGCTAGCTAGGGAATGAAATGCACAAACGCCAAGCAAAGTGACATATCGACAAAATTCTGTACCCTGTCTTGTCGGAGCAAAAAGGCAGTGTATGTATGGGTTTTTATCACTGGAAACCTGTTCAGAGGCACCAGCACATGGAATCATGTATGCCTGCTGGCTGTGGTCACATTTTTAATTTAACCACATCTTCGCTTAGCCAGTGTCCATTTTAGTAAATTAACCATATTTATGCTTCATAACAAGCACCATAAATCAGGCCCTAATCTCATAAACAGATATTCACAATTTAACCATCAGTGAATGATCCACTGGGGGCTGGCAGCTCACATCCAAGACGAGGAAGTCTATGACATTAGAAAATAAAAGAAGAAACAGAGTGCCACGCCCTCATTAAGTAAATTTTATTATCTGGTAAAAAATAATAAACTAAGTCAGGTACTCACACTTAGCAAGAACATAGAGGCTTCCCTGATAGAACATACACCAGCTCAAAGCCTTTGCCTCAATGCATGCATCCTTCAATGTGTGGCTGTATTTAGCAGTGTAGAATTCTTTACTAGCCGACGTGTTAATGAGGCATGACCCCTTCATGAGCACCTGATAAGGGGGCGTGACCCAAAAATGCGTTATCCCATGCTGAGTTCTACATCTCTAGATAATAAAACTTCATGACAGTGAGGCGCTCTGTTTCTGTTTTATATGTATCTGCAGCCTACGCACACCTATTAGTGTGCATCATGAGTACATAATAACTACTGTGGGTATGCAATTTGCTTGTCCACTGCGGCATACACATAATAGTAAATCAGGCCCACTGCACATACTTATATATCTAGACTGGAAAACGTTAAAGATCTGCAAATAACTTGCTTTTCTTCTATATTATACAGGAAAAGAAATGACACATTATTATTATTATTACATAGTATTTATATAGCGCCAACAGTTTGCGCAGCGCATACTCTATATTGGAAAACATAGCTCCCCTTAACATTTCACAATTTAAAAAAATAGTGGTAAAACTATCCTTTTTTTTTTGCTAAGGAAAATAAGTGATTTATTTTAAAAATATAGTTCTCAGATTTATTTATTTCTCTTTTTCTTTTGCATTATTGCAAATATACCAAACCAAAAAAAGTAAGTGAGGAAAAAATGGCAGTATATTATTTGTATATTTATTATATATATTTTTGAAAATTATTGAATTGTACTAGAGATGATTGAACTGATTAGTAAATAAAGCAAATCTTGTGAGTTCAGCATGTCTCATCTTTTTGGTTGTTAACACATTTTCGAGTTTCCTGAATATGTTCATGCAAATGCATTTTTTTCATGGAGAATCATGTAGTTAGTAAACCCTGATTGCCCTAATTCATTAATTCTTTCATTATTCATAAATCAGACTAATCTACATGCAAATATTCAGGCCACATGCACATTTTCAAGAAAGATGACAGTTTTCAAGATTTACCTTATTCACTATTTTGACTGCTCCTCTATATAGTACAGATGGGATTGCCCTGCCCACTAAACCAAAGGATTATGATGTGATGGCTTTGCCCAGCTCCCTTACTTCAATCTGTATTGCAAATAACATGAAATATGCTATTTTACAAATGTCTGAGGAATAAATAATACACACCTACCTTTTCAATCTTGAATAACCTCCTATTTTATACAACATATATTTCCTCTGGTTCAATACCCCATACTGTTTTGTATTACTGGACCTATGTGTAAAACCTGCCATAATACTAATTATTTATTTATGCACTTATCCATTCCAAATAATAACAAGTAGAGCCAAAGTGGTCATATATATATTAGTCCTTACAACTGCTCTGTGGCTTTTCATATGTGTAGTTGTGCATCATAGCCATTTTTGGCTTGTTCCAATATTCATGAGATTGCTTCCATAGCAAAATCATCTATATCTCTCATTGAAATAATATCTGGACTCCTTGCCCTTTCTGTATTTCTGTTCATGCTAAGTGGAGTGCCTGCCAAGCTCATGTCGCATGAATCACATTCTATGGATTGCTGCATTTTTAAGCAGTCATCTTCTCCGTCATGCCATGATCCTGATTTCTCTCCAGTGTACAAACCACTATTATTCAACATCTGTGACACTTTTTTCAGTGATGCTATGGATGTAACCGGTACTGGAGTAAGCCCTTGATATAACATAGATGGCTTGTTGGGCATTTCCAATATTGGGGTTGATCTTTCTGATGGTGGTAGTGACATTTGCAGATATTTGCCAGTTTCTGGATCAAAAAAGGTTTTGATTTGAAAATGGACCGGAATGTCCACCACAAAGTACTGTCCGGATTCAGGGTCCTGCAAAAGTTTGCGTTGAGTAGTTGGGAGAGATGGGGTTGAAGCTTTAGAAATTGACTCCTCCTGCTGTAGTGTTCTTGATATGCAGGATCCCGCTTTGAAATTTGATTGTGTTGTAATTGAAGATGGGATGTTATTGGCAGGAGATGGAACATCCACGACAAAATCAGACTCTTGAAAGTCCCCTTCATGTATCTTTGGGGAGATTTCAGTTTTCCTGTGTTTTTTGGTCAGGCGTTTGGCACGACGTAGAGCTTTCTCAGTTTTGGGAGGAACTGTTGGTGGTTTTGCAGCATGAGCATTATTCAGTGATCCTACACAAGGTGCTTTTTCCTGTGTCTGCCTTATGCACTCACTGTTTTTGGTCTCCACATTATTAGAAGGAGTAGGAACTATACTCATCACATCATGGATTGAGAGGTTGGACTTTTCATTTCGTGAATTTACACATGGTAAAGGTGGGCTTGGCATATCATCTAATGCAGAAAGAGCTGTAGTAAATCCAGAGCTTTGTGTATTCACAGACATAGGACTGGCTACCACAGAGCAAGTAATACTTTCTGACATGGGGCTGGTTATAGTTGAACAGGCAATGTCTTCTGAAAAGGATATGGCATCTTCAAATTGTAGAAGTCCATTGTCAAGTGGAGAATAGTTTGTATTTGCACTGTCAGGAAGTTCTCCATTTACCAAGTCCTTTATGGAGTCACTTGCATGGTGCCCAAGCAAGGTGCTACATTCAGGTGACAGTCCAGTCACTTCTGAGACACAGGTTTCAACTGGATGAAAAAATGGTCCATCAAGCGGTGGTGAATTTCTATTGGGGCTTTTATTTACTGTGACTAAATCTACAGTTTCCTCTTCATTTTTCCTCCATTCAAGAGTCGTACAACAAGGCTCCTCCCATGGCTCCTGAATGTCCCGTTCTTTAATTTGTGTTTTCATTTGTTTATAATCTCTGTTGTTGTGGTCTGGAGACTCTAATACAGATTGTGTAGCTATAGGACTGCAATGTTTTTCTCCATTATGTGCTGCAATATTTTGTCCTTTACTTGCGTCTATTTTGACATCCCTGTTTTTCCATGAACTAGGTTTTGTTGATCTAAAATCTCCTTTGCCTATAGCAAAGCTATTGTCTTCTCCCTTATGAAAAATTAGGCAGTCTTCGGAAAGACCTCTTAAAAGAGGCCTCACTGATTTTGTAACCGGAGATGATTTACTTTTATTGTCTTTTATGTGAAATAAGTTTGGTTTGAACTGAGTTATGCTAGATGGTCTTTTAATCTCCTCTGTATTTGTACTTTCTTCACCTTGCTTATCACTTACTAATGGCTCTTTATCTTCTTCTTTTTCTTCAATATCTTCCTTTAGTATGTCATGCTGTTTGCTGCTCTCTATATTGCAATTACTCACTGCATAATACTGTAAATCATCCTTTAGGCTATCAGTTTTTATCTTCTGTTTTCCACCTTCATCACCTTCTCCTGAACACTGATTTACCATCTCTGTGGAGTCTAAAGATTGTTTTGTGCGGCCTTCTGCATTTTCCACATCAATTTCTAAGATATAATTTGTTGGCAAGGAAACCATATCTGATGGTTCCTCCTGCTTGCTGGCAGGTTTAATATTTGCTTCTTGTAAAGGAAAATATTCTTTCTTTTGTCTCCAAACTGGTTCATCCAATTTTTGTTCCACTTTTACACTTGTATCATCTTTGGGATAAAGATTCAGTATAGGATAGTCTACATCTTTTTTCAGGTTATGTTCAATAGGACTGAGATGAGAAGATGGAATATATTCTTTGTGCATATTTTCATCTGTGGGGACATCATCTGTTGGAATTTCAGCATTTTCAAATACATTACATGTTATTATTTGTAGTGGGGAACTCAAACATAAATAGTTATCAGAACTATTTTGAAAAAAATCATGTTTAGCTTCTTCTTCTTTAGTTAGCCTTGGTACATATGTTTGGTCAACGTTGCTTACATTTTCAATTTGTGACACCTGTTTACTTGTGTCCATTAAAGAAACACCATAAGTTGAAACATCTTGTAGCCTGGCATCTGCTGTTGGATTATTTTCATACAGATTACGAAGATTTGCTGAAGGATTATATGTGCTCTTTACTCTCTTTCTCATGTCTTTCAGATTGAATAGTAGACTTGTAGCTTTAGATTTATAGTCATTTCGCTTACGATACAAGCTAATTTCTCTTTGGTCCTGATCAATAGATGTATTTGTATCAGCAGGTGGAGGAGTTATTGCCATTGGCTGTTCCTCTAGGGCTTCTTGTATGCTTTTTCTTCTTATAATGGGAGTTAAAAGATTTGTGATATTAAAAGAAGAGATACTGGGCTTGTCTTCAAAGGAATCTTCATTTGCGGTCATGTTTTCGTTAGATTGTTCTGTAGCTGATTCTTTCATGGTTAAACTTTTATTGAACAATTTATCTTCCAGTTCTGTCTTATGAACATGTATTCTCCTCCATGGGGGTACAAGGGTGTTGCTGTTTGAATGGAGATTTGAGTCTGAATGTTTTGCATGAAGTGTGCTTGGCAAAGTCTCCATAGATGCCTCATTGGAGTCTTTTAAATGTTCTTTTTTCTCTGGTAAACGTAGTTGAACTACATCTTTGACTGAGTCTTTTTCTATTTGCTGTATTAATGTTTTAGTTCTTCCAGATGGTGGTATGGGTTTATTAGACAGTTTAATGTCATCTTCTTTGGCTGGTGTTTCTGGTTCCCTTGCCTCTTGGGAGGAATCTACTTTTTCTTGAACTTTTTCATTCTGTTTCGGTAGGGCTTGTGATGTTTCAGACACTGTTTCTTTCTCCTGATTTGTGTTTAATGCGTAATTTAATTTTTTAGGAGATTTTGATTTGGCTAAAATGCTGACTGGCTCTTTAGGCGACTGATATCCTACATCTACTTGCATATCTTCTGCTTGGATCTTATTCTCTGCATGGACCTTTGGAGCCCTGTGAATTGATTCTCTATTTTGCTTTGTCATTCTTTTGTTGGGAAGTGGAGGAACAGTCCTTAACATCTGAATAGCATCAAAGCTGTTAGAGAGTGTTGAAGCAGGAGAAGCCCATCCTACCTCTAGTCCTGCATCTCTTGCTCTTACTCCAGGAGTTGTTCTTTGAAGTAAAGGAGAGCATGGTGTTGTTGATCTTAGAATAGGAGGTGTTCCAGGGACTGAACTGTCACTATCATCCTCTCTAAGGTGTCTTTTATTGTTATCACTCCATGATTTAAATGCACTATTTTCGCTGTGGAGAAAGACTGTTCTTCTCAAAGACGCCTTATGATTTATCAACTTTTTGGGTTTATCTGATAATGGTGATCCCGAAGAACATGGTGATACTGACAGCCTGGAACAATTTTCTGCCTGAGTCTCCAAAAATACTTCTCTGGCTGTGCGCCTGTGTGAATTACGACTTTCATTAGGACTCAAATTATCTGGATTGATTGATTCTAAACCTTCATTGTTCACATCACTGTGTTCTGCTTTCTGACATAAGGATATTTCTTCCATATTCATTTTGCCTTTTTGGACATCTTTGGAGAGAGAAAATTCATCCTGTTCTGGTCTTTCATTTTCAATATTATCAAAGCTTCTTATAAGAGATGACACCTTAGAAGATGGTTTATATCCTGTGGGTTGAGGAACACACAACTTATTGGTGTTGGTCTTGGCAACTATCAACCCATGCTTTGCACAGTTAAGCAGTGGTTGGAATGTTGGAGCCCACTTTCCACGCTGTCGTGTTATAGTGGGTAGCTGTGCCAAAGGCTGAGTCTTTCTTACTGAAAGGTTAAAAATGCCCAGGTGGTATTTTGTGGAAAGTGGCATTCCTCTAATTGGGGAAGGTATATGAGGAACATCATTGAATGGTTCTTCTTCAGCAACACACAAACTTCTAAAAGCTCGATCTGTGAAACTGCTTACTTCTCGGTCTGTATCATCCATTACTCCCACACCACTTCCAGCAAGGCCATCTGCATGTCTCTTATGCTTCTTGTAACGAAGCATGTGTATAGCATATGTAGATGGTAATATATAAGGCAGTTCTCAGGCTCACACCAGGTACCACCTGTGGGCAGAAAATAAAGTAAATATTTCTAAATGAAACAGCATCATCAAGTAGAATTTATAAATCTGCAAGGTGGAATTTTAATCTAAACAGATTACTTTCTTACTAAATGTAAATTTTGACTCCTTGCATTATGATTTTATCCTGACATTTGTAAAGCTGGCCAAATGGTGCACCAAATACGATTCAGTTTTATTCTGACATTTATTACATTCCAAATACCTAAAAAACCTATAAAGAAGTGAATGTAACATTCACCAAACATTTACTGCAGGTGAATCAATTCCTGTAATTTAAAACACATGCCCCATGAAGATTCACCTACAGTGAATTTTTAGTGACTGTCACATTTGCTGCTTTAAAAATACTTCATGATGCGCATTTTGTGGTAGAATTATGTCTTTTCCAAGTGTTTTATATTCATATTAAACATTCTCTTTCATTTAGCAACCATAGATTCATTTGCCTTAATGACTCAATGAGATTAAAGTTCTGTAGTTTTCAATGAGGAACAAAAGAGACTACTTTATAATAACATGTGATTTATGTAGTAAAAATACTAGGGCTGGTAATGATTAAAATGTTCTTGTTCGATTAATCGAATTTTTTAAAATCGACTAATTTCCATTAATTATAACGCACATACAGAGGGGGGTCTCACCAGAGCTTTGAGGGGGCCTCACCAGGGTAGCAGGGCTCTGTGGGGTCTAACCAGCCTTGTTAGAACAACAACAGAATGTTGAATGGCGGCAGCCTCAGACAATATATCAGCCGCCATTCAATATACATTCTGGACATCCTGATCCTCCTCACAGGCCGGTTCACATCTGGTTCCCAGACCCACATAAGTAAGTACATTATACATGTATATTTATTGTTCCTGTCACCTTCCCTGATATGTTCGGTCCAGGCAGTCAGCTGACCTAGTTTTGCGCCCTCTTGTTTCTCTCTTTGGTTTTCACATCCGATGCACTCATGAACCAGGAGACTTCCCCCAACCCCCAAGTAGCAGAAAACCAGTGCCTGCGACCCTGGGATATAAGAATGAAGGCATGCTGGGACTTGCAGTTCAACTACAACCAGCATGCCTTAATTGCCCCTGTACACCTCTCCACATCACCCAGGGAACTACATGTCCCAGCATGCCCTTATGGTCTTTGTACACCGCCCCCCACATAAATCACCCAGGGAACTACAAGTTCCAGCATGCAAGCCCCCTGCAGTAGTTCCCTGCGTGATATGTGAGAGTTGTACAGGGACAGTGAGTGCATGCTGGGACTTGTAGTTCCCTGTATGATAGAAGGCTATTTTAATTACTTTCCTCATGAAAATACAATGCCATTATAGTACAGTAACTTTTGAACTCAACTATATTCTATTCAATGTTTCTATAATGACTTTGTATTACTAGTACTTTCATGAGGACAGTAATTAAAACAGCCTTCTTTCAGACAGGGAACTACAAGTTGCAGCTGAACTGCCGACTTGTAGTTTCCTAGTAGTACAATGACATTATAGAACATGGAATAGAATATAGTCAGTTTCAGCCATATTCTATTCCATGTTCTATAGCTTGAGCAGGGTGCTGTAAAAAAACATACCAGCGTGGGGGGACAGCGGCCGGGAACATCGAGGCGGGTCTCTGTATCAGGTGGCTGCTGCTGGGTCCTCGCAGCTGAGGTAACGAAGGGAAGGGGGAGGAGTCCGGTGACATTACGAACATCGATGTCAACGGACTCCTCCCTCCTTCCCTTCGTTACCCATCACGGACAACTACATCACCCGACTCCTCCCCCCTTCCCTTCGTTAGCCGACAGAGCCACTCGGGGAGGGGGGGAGGAGTCCGGTGACGTCGATGTCCGTGACATCACCGGAATGTGAATACTTTGATCGATCAAAATAATTTTGATTGATCAAAGAAATTAACGATTAATCGACGGATTAATCGTTAATTTCCGCATCCCTAAAAAATACAAATAAGACCTTAGGCATTTTAAGAAATAATAGTTTAACCACTTCAAGACCAGGTGTTTAGACCCCCTTCCTGGCCAGGCCATTTTTCAGCATTCAGCGCTGCGGTACTTTGACTGACGTTTATTCCGTCATGCAATGCTGTACTGAAATGAATTTTATACCATTTTTTGGGGACAGATAGGGCTTTCTTTTGGTGGTATTTAAACACCACTGGGGTTTTTATTTTTTACTATAATTAGGAAAAAATACAGAAAATTTTGGGGGAAAAAAGGTTTTTTTACATTATGTTAGGAAACATTTATTATTACCCAGTTTTTTTGTAAAATATAAAAGATCGGGTCACGTCGGGTAAATAGACACCAAACATGTAATTCTTTTTAATGATGTAACTTTAAATTGGTGGGGGGGGAACTTAAATTTTTTTCCTTTTTTTTTCCACTAAACTTTATTGCTATCACATACGGGGGCTAATAAAAACCCCTCTATGTGATAGGAAAATATGTGACAGGTCCTCTAGCCCTTCAATAGACATGTGCGATTTGTTTTGGAAAAATTCGTTTTTCAGACGAATTTTTTCATTATTTAATTCGGATGTATCCGAATTTCCGTATAACAGAAATAACGAATGAAAACGAATCCGAATTTCTGAAAACTACATTTCGTACAAAAATTGTTAGCAGTAGTCTGTACGACATTTCGTTTGTGGATGAATATTCGTTGCAGCAAAGTGACTTTAGAAGAAAAAAAAAGCGTGTGGTCCACCCCCCCAATTGATACCAGACCCTTTAGGTCTGGTAGGAATGTTAGAAGGGACCCCTACCAGGCCTTTTAGGTCTGGTAGGAATTTTAAGGGGACCCCACCCCCAAAAAATAGGGGAGAAAAACGTGGGGTCCCTATAAAAATTCCTACTAGACCTTGATCCGAGCACAGGCCCGCCAGGGCAGGAAAGGGGGCTGGGCGATCAAGCGCCCCCCTCCCTGTGCCTTACATGGCCACGTGCCCTAACAGTTCATGTTACTGGAGGTACAAATATTTGGGCATGTGTGAAAGTTCAGTTTAGTTGCAGTGAACTAGATCTTCCCAACCGTTGGCTTATGTTTACTATACGTGAACACATATATTTCAATATATACTGGAAGTCTGGCATTAAGGGCTGGTTTACATGATAGCCATTGTGCTACAACACTTTGGCATTGACATTGGCCAACACAAACACAATGCTAAGGCAAGGCAAACAGTCTTGGTTTCAATAGGAGTAGATATTCATACTGCATTGTGTTGAGCTGCATTAAAATGATGCAGGCATGTTTTTATTGCAGGGCAACGCTATCCAAAACATTCACAACACAAGTGTGGTAACGCTTGTGCTGTGGTGTGAACCCAGACAAATACTTCACATTGAGTAGATCATGTGGGTGTAAGCATTCAAGGAGGGAACATTAATTTGCAGTGCAAGTTACCATGCCTAGTTTATGTGTACATTATTACTCCATGTCACATGATTATTTTTGTTTGAATCCTCTCTTGTGCCACATTCCATCAGAAGAACATAATATCTTTTATGAAAGGTTTTCACTACAATTTTATGAAGGTTTCATTGAATGTGTTATAATGTGTTCTCTTCGCTTGACAACATTGCTATCTCATTTTAATGTGTAGTGTGAAAGTATTTTTGGAGAGGGATTGTCATTTGAGTATTTATAGCATGTGAAGCAATAAAGTTTGCTATTTTCCTTTATACATTCCATTTCATCATGCGTTTATACATTCCAGTTCTTTTTTCTTTTTTGGGGGGTTTGGGAGTTAACTTATACTCACTGCTGATATGTATAAAGTTGACAGCCATAACATGGAAGTATCTTATAATTTTTGGCACCGACACACACTTATTCATTTGTTCCCACTATGTCTCATGCATTTATTCACTCATCGTCTCTGCTCCAGCATGCATTTCTGCACTCACCGCCACTGTCCTAATATGCACTACACTGCACTGACATTCACACTACACCAGTGCACAGGTGCACGCTCTCAGATTCTGCATCAACCCATACTTCCACATTCATTCAGTTTAACAAATGGGTACATTTCCTGGTAATGATTACAGTAAACTTATCAATGTAAAAATATGGGCACTGCCATTGTTGGCCTCTTCTTGCTAGTTTCCTGAATGTTATAGAAACCCATTGGCTTCAATATTTTCGGAATCAATACCTTAAATAAGTACCAAGAAAAAAAATCAAAGGTCTCGATTTGCAAGTTTTCAAGCAAGAGTGTTAGCTTGACAATCAGACAACTAGCATTTTCAGAAGAAGAGGTCAGCAATCACAACCTCATGTTTCTCTTTTTAAAAGTTTACTAAGGAGATGTTCATGAATATAAACATGTTACTAATCGCTAACATCCCAGGAAAGGAAATGGTGTAATGAAGTGTACAGCGCTAAATGCCCTTCAGGAAATTAGATAACGGTAGGGATCATATGGTGTCACCTCCGTGTCAAGCAATCGTGAAACAGTGTATATATAATAAATATTTGTGTAAAAACTTATAGTACGTTATAAAATGTGTCAGCAGGTGTCATAAAAGGCATGTCATACATGAACCTTATTAAATAAATAAACAAAAATCTTCAAAGAACATGTGTCATATATGTGAAAAAAATATTATTGTGAAAGAAATATTAAATAAATAAATAAACATGTGTCATATATGTGAAAAATAAATATATCACAATATAAAACAGTCTGTGTTGTTTTCTTTCGAAAATAAGTAGAAGTATGCACTTATAATATAAAAATGCACCCAAAGTTCTTAAAGCTCTCCGATCTTCAAAACAAAAAAAGCCCAGAAGAATGAGAATAAAAATCAAAATCGAAAGAAATGTCCAATATTATGAAGTGTCCAACGAAAAAACGATAGAAAAAAAAAAGAGGGAGCCTGGGAGTAGTGAGCCACGTTCCAGA